TTGGGCTGGATTGCTCTAATGCTACACATTTACAGTCCCAGAAAAGTGAAAAATGGTGTTGCTGAAACAAAGCAGAAATGCATCTGCCTCCCCGCAAGTGCTCAAGTGGAAACAACTCAAGGCCCATAGTCTTCAGGAGAGAGGTTCTCCAGAAAATTTTGCTCTCTTCACACATCTCAAGCTTGTCACAGAAGAACTTAGGCTCCAGACTAGTAGGTGTTTCTGGAAATCTTAGCTTTTCTCAGAGTCTGTCCTCCACATTGGTAGGCAAACATTTTTATCCGAAGTATTTGACTCTCAGGAATGTTCTTTTTTAGACAGAGCTTGCTCTGAACTAAGCTACTTGTTGCACAGTTGTGCACAAGGTAGCTATTGAATGGTTAATAGAGGTAGTGTTCATGTCTGAAAAAAACCCCAAAACCTCAGGCTGTATGATGCAATTCCAGTAACCTGAAATGGAACATTGTAAGATATTCTGAAAAAAGAAATATTTCATGCCTTTTGAGCAACAGGACAGTAAATTAACAAGCAGTGATTTTTTTGCGAACACTCATGGCTTAATTTAGGATCAATCTCTTAGTGCATCAGAGGTTAAACTTACTCCTGAGACTTCTCGGTGTGGAACGGGCTGCAGTTTCCCAGTGTTGGATTCCAGAGTTCTTTATAAGCTCGTTAATGCAATGCCATGTAAATGTTGAATGCTAATTGTGAGAAAGGTGTAGGTAAGACTGTGGCATTCGCAGTGGAAATGAGCACGTGAGCTGAATGACCCAGTAACTTCGAAATTGTTAGCAAGTCAGGGGAAGGAAATTTGTCAGAAATTGTGCCAATGAAAACAAACACAGTTTCACTCCTAATGTCATTGGAGGGTGCATCAGTGTTGTGCAAATGTACACTAGATGCAAGCAGTTTTGTTTTTCTGGGTGCTTCTCGCTTAAGATGCACCAAAGCATTTTAATGTGTGATGAGTGAAGCACTGGGACTGTGACCCCAGTGCTTGGTAGTGGGATCTAGGGCCTTTCACCTGTAGGTCATGGGTTCAGGTCTGCCTCAGGTTAAGGATGACTAAAACTTGTTACCACCTGACAGCTGTTCATTGCTCTTGGAGGAGAGAGGCACGGTGGTCCTTACACAGTTCTTAGCAGCCCAGCATCCATACTGACAGTTACTGCTTTCTTTAGGCTCTTCAGAAGGGTAGAGAATTCAGTACCTTGATCAGCTTCCACTCAGGTTGGTGGGGAGGTTCGGGAGGAGCAGCGGTGTGTTTCATGGTATGGGATGCTGACTTGCTCAAGGAAAATCTCCCATGTTCTGGTTAAAGAGCTTAGAGGGAAGCCTGTGGGTATCAGGGACGGGGGAAAGGGGGAAAGACACTTTCCTCTTATCTGGAAAAAACAAGTTTTTAACAAGAACTAATACTCAGCAACAAAGATGCTGTCAGTAAAACTGTCCCAAGTTGAACATGGGCCTTCAAGCACATTCATGAGAATGAGAAACTGATAGATTAAGTGAAAAATGGTGCCAGGACACTGGTTTTATTACTTTGTTGTGATTTTTTGTTTCTTTTTTTTTTTAGTTCGTTAGCTAAATTGTACAGCTGGCTGAGTACCTCATTTCTAGTAGGCAGACACCCAGAATCTGATGACACTGCTGGAAGGATAGTGCTGCATTGTGTTACTACTGACGATGAGACAATGTACCGATCTGTTATTTAAATCAGCTTTTTGGCTTGTGGGAATCTGTGCCACCAATTCAGCCAGCTAGGCACTACATCACAAGGAATCATGTAATAAAGGACTCGAATGCCATCAAGTGGCTTTTGATATGTTGAAGAAGAAGAGTGATGTGTGGATTTTGTCACCAGGATATTAAAGTGAAATAGTTCTGTCTGTGATATGGAATAAAATGGGAAGTAGTGGTACTGTGTGCCATATATACAATTGAAGTCAGTAGCATTCTGAGTGCAGTATGTTGTTGTCATCAAGTACAAGAAAAGAGTCCATAAATGAAAACCACAGAACACCACCATTTTGTTCATTGGTTGTATTTTCCATTACATCATTTGTCCCATAGTGTGGAAGTCCTATGATGACTATAATCCTTGGGGGTTTTTTTTGTTGCAAGTGTAAGGAATGACTTTCTGCAGAGTGTAAAGTGTTGAGTGTAGTGTTGTGCATCTTCAGCACAATGAGGCCAGAGGCTTCAGGTACATTTCAGTGACATTTTCAGTGGTTTCCCTCATAGGTTTTTGCACCAGCTGTGAATAGTCTGAGGGGAAAAAAAAAAGGCAACAAGAGGGCTTGATGTAAAAAAAGTGCAATTCAGCTGATTGTGGTGGTTGCAGAGGCTTAAGATCTCTGGCTGTGGCAGCCTCCGGTGATCTTTGCAAACTTTCAATAAAAATAAATGAAAATGCAACTGGTAAAAATTTCTTAGTGTTTTTTTTTTTTCCTTCCCTTTTGGTCTTTATTACTTCTAATATGTTGAAAAGCCACTGATGTATCCACTTGGTTCTGATCTGTCTGTATGTTTTCACGTAATCTGACTTCAGTACTCTGAATTTTCCTCTGCAATCTGCATTTATCATTTCTTTGTACCTGGGTCTTACATTGTATAAAGTATCTACATTTGCCTGTGGAGTTAGCTTTACTCTGTTTGGATGAGGAAATGTACATAACAGATCCGTCAAAGAAATAATTAAATGGTGTAATGCCTTAAGAGGAGTGCAGAGCAGATCTGCTGCTGGGTTTTGGAGCACACACCCGCCTTCTTGGGTGGTTTTGCTATTCCTGTTTGGAATGTTAAAAGGGGAAAAAACCAGCTTCTGTTCTGATGACTGACTTGTGTTATGCAATTTTGATTAGCTAAATGTGCCCTGTTTAGTGAAGTTAATGTGGTTTGACAGGACCTCGATTAGAAGGCGATCATTTCTGTTGATAGTAAACAGTTGGCCACTTTCAGCAGAGATAGGAATGCCACCCTTTGTCTTGCATGAAGTATGATTTGTTGGTTCAAGTCCCGGTTAAATTCAGAACGAAAGCGTGGGTGGAACAGGAGAGAATATAGTACCAGGAGTAGAAGTTTACGGTAGACTCCCCAGTCCTCGTAAAACTGGGGCTGTATTGTCTTGGCTGGCATTGAGACACAAAAGATGGAGGGAGACCTTTTGTCTTTGGAAGCACTTGCAGTGTGAAGGACTGCAAAAGAAAGCACTGGTTCCAAGATACACAGATTAGGATAACTCTGCTGCTTACCCACATGCTATATTCCTGTAAGATGAAGTAAAATGTGTTAGCATATCATAGACTACTGGTTGGTGGAGAAAGACGGCAGTGAGCATGAACACGAGCCTGATGAGTGAAAGTATTTTTAGAGTTTAATTCTTGATTAGAAATTAACAACGGCTTTTTGTTACCATGCGTGTGCAGTCTCAATGATTGTATGTTCTCTCACTGTACTAAGAGGGATGTTAAGAAGTTGTAAAGGGACTCTAGGTAAAGAAGCTGTACTTTGATTTTTATTTTTCTCTTGCTGTTACTTGGTGTGAAGGAGGTAATGCCACATGTGATACGCTGAAAAAATGGAGCATGTTGTGGAAACATTTATTTCTTCAAAGAATTATTGACCTAGAAATGAAGCAATGCTTCATGCCAGACTGACTGTATGATTTAATTGTTGAGGGTCTCATTCTGACAGCTTTGTCTATGCAGGGGCCCAGCTTCTTGCCTGGTGGTCCGTTTAGCCCCAGGGGGGTTACGGGTGGGTTGAGGGCCCAAGCAATTGAGAAAGTACATCCCTGTTCAGTCTTGGGAATGTCATCTCCCACACTGCCAACTGGTTACAGATCAGTCTTCCGTTATGCGGCCTAGGAAGAGATAGATGCACATGCCTAATTTCTGTTCACACTGCTGTAGAACTAAACCTTGGCAGTATTTCAGATCACCAGTGCCAAGCTGACTAGGACTTAAAAAAATGTAACAAATTAGACCAGGTCTGTAGCCTGGATTTAGCAGAGCAGTAAAGGTAATAAATTGTGAGGCATGGAAACAACATGTTGGTGATATTCTTGTCCTCATCATCCGGCTGTGGTCTTGATTCAGCTAATGGGCTGAATTAATTGACCCCACCTCCCACATGCATTTGCTAGAGAGGCTACAGGGGAAGTTCTATAAAGTATATGAACTCTAGCTGAGTGCTTTTTTTGTAAGACGGAAGATAACTTTCCATTCTTACGTAATATTTTCTGGCAAGGCAAATTGAATATGGCTCCCTCTAGAGCCTGTCAACTTTGCAGTCTCTGCATTTTTCTTTATTCTTTCCTTTTCCCACCATGTTTTAATATGGAGCACACTGTTGAGCTCATGTGGGTTTAGAAACAGATGTTGCACGCGAATCATTGCCTGCATCACAGCGTGTTATGCAGGTACTGGACCACTGGGGTAGGTTAGCTGTAGACAGTCCTTTCTGCCAGACTCGAAACTGCATCTCTTTATGTGAACTTGTTATTTTTTCTTTTTTATTTAAAGTTCAAAGAAGTAATCATGTAACTGAAGAGAAACATTCTCGTTCTGCCTTTGCCAAATTATTTAGGAGCAGAGTGTAAATTAAAGCCATTTATCTTGAAATGTGCTATTGGACCAGACTGTTTGTACAAGTGTAAGAAATTGTAACATAGTATTTGGTCTGGTCTGCAAGGAAAAGGTTTTTATTTTTTCTTTCTTCTTTGAATTTTTGCATATGGGGTATTGGTTATAATGTAGAAAAAAACTGTTTGAGGCTCCAGTTTATGCATCAATGTTTTAGTGTGGTAGAGGCAATGGTATTTTAATTAGGAATATGGTTTTTCTTGCAGTGTTACTGAAATAAAGTTGTTACTAGTTGTAGAGTTACACTGTGATTGGTTTTAGTCCATGCACATGACCAAGTTTTTCTGACTGGAAAGTGCTCGTCAGGTGAATCCAGGATCAGCAGTTACTGGCTAATGCAAAGCTGTTGATATTTATCCATCAGTTGGTGGACGAGTGAGTCGGGAGTTGAATTACACGCGGCAGAAGATTGGAGAAGAGGCCATGTTTAACCCCCAGCTCATGATCCAGACTCCACAGGAAGATGGTGCTAACGTACTAACAACAGAAGCACTCCGGCAGCACCTTGACTCTGCGCTTCAGGCCAGCAGAGTACATGTCTATATGTACAACAGGTAAGGAGAAAAGCAAAAGTTTTCTTGGTCATCTGTAACAGCTAAAAAGTAGGCACTTGCTTCCCTCCCTGTGTTTTCAGATGGTTAAGAGCCTTTCACTTAGGACTGGGTTTTGATTTTTGGTGTTGGACTTGATGATCTTAGAGGTCTTTTCCAACCTTAATGATTCTGTGATTCTATGATTTGAATGCCAGTGGTTTCTGATACTTGACATTGTGGCATGGTAGCAGTGACCAGTTGGCTTTTAACAAATAAGAGGGGGTGAGTGGTGGTGGAAGAGATTCTGAGAGTCTACCCCTATGAGCAGTGCTATAGTATCCAGCATGTGTCTTCCTGAAGGAGTGATGCCTGTCCTCTTAAGCACAGGCCCTGTGGATGGGATTCCTAGCATTGAAAATCCTTCCATATTAGAGTTGAATTCACTCACTGACACCATCATGAGGTACATAATGGCTGTGAACAGCAGCACAAGTTACTGTCCTTCCAATAGTTTGGATATCAGGGGAAATGCAGATGTGTGAGAAATGGCAGTGGGTGGAATAATAGCTGTTTAAGAACATAGACATAATAGTGTTGGCCTTCAGAGTGTCTGTGTGTACATACTGATGGTTGGGAGCTGTGTGTTGCCCAACAAAAAAATAATCAAGGTGCACCTTAGGAAGGTACCGGCTTTGGGCTAGTGAGATGTCTCCCTGAAAAGTGGTTCCTCCAGGGTTGCTGCTTACATGTTGATGTGCCATGGGGTGCTGCTTGCGAGGCGTGTGTGAAGCCCTGTGTCTTCCAGCAAACCTCAGCACATCTAGCTGATGTTTCAGTGAACTAATGCCGAGGCTCCAATTGTCTTTTACTCTGCCTTGTCTAAGGCGTTAGAGGTCATGGCAGTGGAAGTTGTAACACAGGTGAAAAAGGAGGGCAGAAAGCATAGTGTTTTCTCCTGCATGTGTGGGTCAGCTGGGAATATTGTAGGCCTCTGAGCTGGAACTGGCTTCTCTCTCATTTGTGTCACTGAGTGATACTTTAAGTGACAAGCATTCTCATTTATACAGAGATGGATTTCTGTCCCTTAAACATGTATTGACTAGCCTCTTCATCCAAAGGCAGCTTCATTACTTTTAATGAGTTCTACAGAGAATGTGAGAATCTAATCTGTAACTACAAAAAGAAAGGCCTTTCATTTTTTTGTGAGGTGTAGTATATCTATGCTGAATAATATTTACCTTTCTCAATGAATTGCTGCTTGAGGCCAATCAGTATGTGTATACGATTGCAATTTTAGATGTCCGTTACATTTAAAAACAACTTTTCAGTAATTGTGCAACAAAAAAGTATTTTTTCTTTGCATTTCTTACAGACAGTGGAAATTGGAACATTTGTGTTACAAATCAGGAGAACTCATCACAGAAGCAGGTTACATGGACCAGGTATGCGTAGCAGGCATGGAGTTATAAGATTTCTATATTCTCATGATTCAGTTTGTGCTGCTTTGATTATATTCTAGTATAATTGTGTTTTTCCTCTTTTTGATTTTGACAGATCATAGAATATCTTTATCCTTGCTTAATTATCACTCCTTTGGACTGCTTCTGGGAGGGAGCAAAGCTACAGTCAGGAACTGCATATCTATTGTAAGCATGTTGTTATAACTTTCTGGTCTGACTGCTTTTAATTGTATGTGTATGATTTTTCGGTTGCATTCCCATTGTTTATTCAGATTCTGGTTCAATAGAAAAACAAAATGATAAAGTGTAGTGTTTCTACAGAAAATACGCATGGCTTTTATTTTTCATTGAACGAAGATTTTCCCGTTTCTAAGGCATGACTTGTAGGCATCAATTTAAGCCCTATGTTATTTTTCCCATTCTGCTAGGATGCAAAATAAAATGTAAGTTCTGAACTGAAGCTTTAAGAATTTTATGCCTTTTTTTCCTCCCCTTGAAAGAAACTTGTTGTTGGTGGGGTTTTTTTAATGTTGTTTTGGTTTGTTTTCTTTTATTTTGTTTTTTTTTTTCCCTCCATAAAATACAAAAGCATTGATTGGCTGGGAATTTTATTCCTAAGAAAGTGTCTTGGGTTAGATCTCAGGTCCTCCTAAGGAATAAATAACAAATCCTTTGCTTATGAGATCATTGAAGAAACCATATAGTATCTTTTATAGGTGGTTTCTCACAGTTTACAAGTGTGATATTATATGCCCTGAGTCCTTTAAAGAGTTAATTGTTAATCTGTGAAGGCATTTTCTGTTAATTATGCAAGAGTTAGCATTTGAGTTATTGTTTCTGTCCTGGTTTGCATGTGTCTGTAAAAGAAATTTGCAATGGTCATCTCCTAACCTTTAGTGTACAGTTTTAGATGGGGAAATAAGGGGGTTTGTGTTTTCTGGTTGGGAGCTTCAGAATAATGATTTAAGCCTGGTTAAGCAGATACAGTGTGGTTTGAACCACAGAACAGGGCAGCCAAAAGCCTTTCTAGTCTGTCAACATCACAAATTCAGAAGTGCGGAGTTGGAGACGTGACAGTGATAGTGGTGACAGCCATCGTAGCAGGAAAGCTTGATGGTTGATAGCCAAGCTGCCAGGGCATTTGAAGGAGCACGGTATTGTTGCAGATTAACAAAGATCAGCTATATTGATTGATTACATTTGCAAGATGATTATTAGACTACTGAGAAGTAATCTGATACTGTGAGAAAGGCTTTCACTCCTCAGCCCCCTCTCTTCTTTCCCTCTCCCCTCCCCCCCTACTTCTTTGAAACAGCAGTTGGCTGCTTTTTTGGTATTTAGGTGCTTGATGATTTGTTTTGCTTTGCTTCTAAATGAAAGTATTTTTAACCTTTGAGTATTCCGTTTTATACAATAACTTTGTAAGAACTGAGTATTTTTGTTAAAATTACGACTGGACTGCAAGAAGAGTACATAGACAAATCTATTTAAAAATGCCTTACAATTTATGAAACAACCTTCCCAGAAAAGGTTTTACCTTGTAACAGAAACTGACTCAATTATTTGTGCAAATACAATTTTGAGACATGTATTTGTTTCAGTACTTCTTTTGTCTTTTTGTGTGTGTCATTTTCTCCTGGTTTCTCCTGCAGAGGGAAGCCTCCTTTGCAGTGGACCAACTTTGACCCGTTAGAATTCTTGGAAGAGTTAAAGAAAATAAACTACCAAGTAGAGAGCTGGGAAGAAATGCTGAATAAAGCAGAGGTTGGTCATGGTTATATGGATCGACCCTGCCTGAATCCTGCTGATCCCGATTGCCCAATCACAGCTCCCAATAAAAATTCCACCAAAGTAAGTTTGCTTGTCCTTGTGCCTGTCTTTTCAAGGGAGTCTGAGGTCAGGAAGGAGGTCAGAAAGAGTAGGAGAAGGTACTTTTTTCTTCCAAGCAATAGAAGTTTGTATTCTGGCGTGATGTCATTTTTCTGTTCTATGCGGTGTGCTGTTAGCCCACAGTCACGAACTTTCCCTTGTTCTGTGGTGTAATGCTTAATGCCACGTGTTTAGCGTGAGAGTTCAGTTCTCTGCTACTGACTGGGTGTGGCAACGCAGAGATGCGGCATTTCGGCAAACCAGATGCCTCAGACAGATATAGCCACTGCCGCTATACACTCATACCATGCAGAAGAGTCTTCCTTCAGGTAGCACCAGTTGTTGATTTTTGTAAAGAATTTGAAATTGTGGGCCTCAATTTTGTATATTCTTTTATCAGTCACATCAGGCTTTGGAGAAATTACTGTCTAGTCAACAGGTATCTGGCTGATGTGTTCAACTCATTTGATGAACACATTTCTCTTTGTAGACCTCCTAGATTGTGCTTAATATCTGTTATCCTAGTACACTGGGTGTTGAATTAGGTCATGAGTTTGTCTGAAGTTATGAAACTGATTAATTGATTCTTTATAACTTTTTCTAGCCTCTTGATGTAGCCCTTGTTTTGAGTGGTGGATGCTATGGACTGTCAAGAAAATACATGCATTGGCAGGAGGAGTTGATTATAGGTGGTACTGTCAAGAACAGTTCTGGTAAACTTGTCAGGTAAAGACATGTTTAAAGAAAATTTCAAAGTTTTTCTTTGTTAGAGTTTGGGTTTTTTGGCGCAGAGGGAGGACCATGCAAAATCTATTGCCCTTCATATGTATTATGAATCCCACTTTAGGAGGACATACCTCAAGAGAAGAGAATTTAAGACAGTGATTGGGAAGTTGTTTAAATTTAAGGGGGTGTCACTGCTTCCAACTTCTAATCTCAGAATGGTAGTGTACATCACTCAGAAATAAAGCTTTCTCCTGGCAACTTTGTTGTTGTGTGTATAAAGCGTTGAACAGTGTTTGAAGCACTGAAGACCTTTGATTGTGTTTTGAAATACAATCACAGGAAAAAGGGGAAAAAATAATTCAGATAATGTGCTCTCTCAGTTGACTTCTCAGAATTCCAAAATCTCCACTGAACTTTTTGTTCAGGTTCAATATAGAGCAGAGTCTATGTCCCTACAGCCTGAATACAATTTTGAGTGATAAAACAAACCTTTGTTTCAGACTTCTTGAGGAAGTCATGGAGCACTAGACTTTGGGGGAGGAAAAAACTGTGAAATAGAACTGTTCTGAAAAATGTAGGCCATACTAAACTGAATGAAGCATTATTCTTCTTTATTTAATACCGACTACTTTTCCTAGAAATTTTAACATTAATTTTGACTTTTGTACATTCACGCTAAACATTGGTAAGTCTTTCAACAAGTATCCAAAGAATATATTTTTAGTGAAAAGTAAAATAGTTCCTTAAGCTTCTCAAATTGTTGAGTACAGTTGTATACTGTGGAAATTCAGGATGGATAGTTACTGCCATTGCGTACTCTTTGCAGCTTGTCAGGCAATGGATTTTTAATCTGGCATTTCTCTCTAAGGGATGAAAAACACCAAGGTCTTCAACTGACAAATTGCCAACAGCATTTACAAGGTCTCATAGAAGTAACTAACTCTTCCTGCAGCATCCTTACAGTAATCTATCAGGCATGATCTTTGTAACTGATTTGTAGGGTTACATTCTTTGCTCCTGAAACTGATCCTATTGAAAATAAAGGCAAAACTCTCATTAACTTCAGTGAAACCAGATTTAGCCTCAACACTGCATAGACCAGTACAGCTGCACTAAATACACGGTAGAATAATTACGATCAGTTCAGTTCTTAAAGAAACATGCCCTATAAAATCAGGAGTTCAAGCAAGCTCCTGTTAGGGTCTCGTTTGGGATTTGATGGCATGAAAATGATTTCCTGAAAATGCTCATTTTATGCCTTTTCCTCCTCTGTCTTCTCTCCACATCACAGTGCCCAGGCTTTGCAAACCATGTTTCAGTTAATGACTCCTAAGCAAATGTATGAGCACTTCAAGGGGTATGAATATGTTTCACATATCAACTGGAACGAAGATAAGGCAGCGGCAATTCTGGAAGCATGGCAGAGGATGTATGTTGAGGTAAAATTGAAAATAACCTAGATATCATACTGTAAAGTCCTGTTGAGATCCACTCCCTGCCGTCATGGCTTTTTACAGTATTTCTTCAAGGAAGATGCTTAAACCAGAACTGAGTCATTTCCTCCCAATTTTTAAGCTCCCGAATTAAGAAGCTGCTTGGTTATTCACATGTGAGAAGCCATGAATGCTTTGCTCTGTCGGGGACGTTTTTGCTTTGCTAGGGCTGAGAAATAACCAAAGAGCTAGCTGGAATTTAAAAGCTTTTTGGTTGGCGTGGTTATTCTGAAGGTGTCTGGAAAACATTAGTCAGCCACGGTCTGCTCTCCCAGCGGCAGCCCCGGTGGGGAGGCTGTGTGACAGTGCCTGGCCTCTGTGTCCCAGGCTCTGACCTCTGCTGCGCTGCTTCGGACCTCTGCGGATGAGTGGCCAGGCAGCGGGAGACAAGGAGCACCCCAAGGAAAGAGATTGCTGGCCTGGCTTTAAAGGCAAAACTCGTACTGCAGCAACCCCATGGTGCAGTTACCGGGAGAGGATTCAAGTTAAATGTTTGGAAAGGGTTAGGAGTGCAGTAGCCTTTCCTGAAGGATGCGAATTCTTGCCTTATAATCAGTAGCTTGCAGGAAATAATTACCAAACACATTTGTGTAGCATCAGCATAATCTTGATGTAGGGTGTGGACTCTCACAGGAACATTAAGGCAAAAGTAGCTAATTTCAGATGCATGCTGTAGATGGTAAGGAATTTTTTCTTCAGTCACACCGGGTTTTGTTTTTCTTTTCGTAGGTTGTTCATCAAAGTGTTGCACAAAACTCTACTCAGAAGGTGCTTTCCTTTACTACGACCACCCTGGATGACATCCTGAAGTCGTTTTCTGATGTCAGTGTTATCAGAGTAGCTAGTGGCTACTTACTGATGGTAATAAAATAAATTTATTTAACTTTTTGTGATAGTAGAGCAGGGCTTAAATGTCTGCTGTATTGTTACCTATCAGTAGTCTAGAACATTTTAGGTATATTTAAAATAAAAATTACAGTTTGTAAACTTTTATCTCAACCTTGTCACATGTTGCTCTGTGTAACATCTCCGATGTGTCTGTTCTGTTTAAAAATCTTTGTAAGGATGTGTACTTTGAGTGGGGAGAGATAGCTGTTAGAGGAGGATCCATTCTAGAGAAGGATCCAGTCTAATATTTTGCTTTTCTCCCCCCAACTCCTTCTCTTCCCCCTTCCCCCCTCCCCTCCTCTTGCTTTAGCTTGCCTACGCCTGTTTAACAATGCTGCGGTGGGACTGTGCCAAGTCTCAGGGTGCCGTGGGGCTGGCAGGAGTCTTGTTGGTTGCACTCTCTGTGGCTGCAGGATTTGGCCTGTGCTCATTGATTGGAATTTCCTTTAATGCTGCCACGACTCAGGTATTTAGGAGACACACGTCTGCTGTTAAATTACAAGTAGTTTGTTAGTAAATGAACACAACTGAATCTTCTAGGGGAAAAAAGCTTCAAAAGTATTTTGACTCTAGATTTTTGCTTGTTTGTTTTTCCAATATCGTAGCTTATGCTGTGAGAAATTAAGTGATCATGCTGCCAAATGGTACTAAAGAAAAAGGCAGGTATTGTGTAGTTTGCACAAATTACTAAATTCTGGGTTATTTGATATTTCTATATCCTGATATGAGTGGAGGCAGCCGGTTGTACATAAGAAGCTACAGGTTTTGTCTTTACGTCTGGATAGATCAGGATGTTCAAATTATGAAAATATTTTGACTATAACTTGAATTATTATCAGATATTCTTTGCCTACGCAAAACTTGAATTACTTTTGGTGAGATTTTGTACCTGTAGATGGTATACTGCAAGTTCCTTAGCAGTATTCCAGAATAAAAATTAATACCTGTATTGCATCCTTTTGATTTTCATGTTACGCTTGGATTTGTGTACAGTGTAATGTAAAAGTTGCTTTAATTAGCCATTTAATGGCTAGCTGCATGGCAGATCATGAAACAATCTTCTTGGGTTTTGTTTGTTTTGTTTCTCCCCCAAGGTTTTGCCTTTTCTTGCTCTTGGAGTTGGTGTAGATGATGTTTTCCTTCTGGCACATGCATTTAGTGAAACGGGGCAGAATAAAAGAATTCCATTTGAGGTAATGACAAAATGGGGGGAAGATAAAACAAAAAGCTTCATATAGGAAAAGATAACTGTATCCAGAGTTAATTAGTAGTCATAACCTTTTTTTTTTTTTTTGTTCCCCTCAATAGCTTTTTCTAGGGTCTGGAAATTCTTATTTCTGTCAAAACAGGAAATGATGGCAATGCATGTGATCCTAGAATGGATCAGTTTTGGAATGCTCACTTTTTTTTTTTTAATGGTGTCTAGATTTATTTTGTCTTGAAAAATTAACTTATAGCTGTCATATAAAGGCTAATTTACGTAATCCAAATTCTCAAAATTTCAGCTAAAGTGGATGTAAATTTAGGAACAAACTCAAATACGAGTCTGACAATTAAATGATAGACTGCTTTAAATGGAAGAACACAAAAATGCTAAGGTGAAAAGAAAGAGAAGGAGGACAGAAAACAAACATTTTTCATTTGTACCGTTACCTTTGTTTCTGTGTTATGGCCTTAAATTTGAGTTATTTTGTATATTTTCTCTGTTTTTCTTTTCTGGCATTTGTAATTGACCACGACATTTCAAAGCATAACTTAGTAAAGTTATGAAATCTAAGGTGTCATCACTTTTATGATCCTTTCCTTTTGTTGACCTTTTTACCCTCAGTCCAAAGTTTCATGTCCAAAGTACAAGCCATTTAAAAGTAATGTATATTTGACCATTTTGTTTTGTACAAGCAGTGTCTTCCGTGGGCTCTTTCCAGCTGGTTTGGCGTGCAGGCATTACAACCTCACTCTACTATAACCTCCATATGCTTCAAAATAGCCTAGTTGGGTTGGGAAAGGGTCATGTATTTATCCTGATTTCTCTGCGGGTTTCATATATGATCCCTGGGTTTTGGGTTGGTTTTTTGTTTTGTTGTATAATCTTCAAGATGTGTACCTATGTTATGCTTGTGTGCTGTTAATACATGCTTATTTTGTCTGAAAAATAAGAACACCAAGTGACTCCACTGGTAGAAAATACCTCCTACTTAATTACAGATGTATTTGGTATAATGTCAGTACCCATTTAGTTTTATGTTCTGAAGCTAGAATTGGCGTTTTCTGCCTGCCAAAAATGTGAGCACTTCATGTGTCACCTGTTTTTCTCCTGAACAGTATGCTTAGTGTATTGTTTATTCTCACATACTCTCAAATGCACACATGTATTCAGAATTTCATTGCAATAATTTTTCACTTTTACTGTGTTGTGTCTGTAGGATGACCTCTTCATTTGCAGGACATCACCTTATTCACTTGACTTTTAAGATACATCATTTGTTTTGCAGGACAGAACAGGTGAATGTTTGAAGCGAACAGGAGCGAGTGTAGCCCTTACATCTATCAGCAATGTTACTGCTTTCTTTATGGCTGCCTTAATCCCTATTCCTGCTTTACGAGCATTTTCACTCCAAGTAAGTTTGTATGCTGTTTTGTTAGCTCTTATGCATGGTCCCATCATGGAAGGCCAACGATGATACCTGTTAGTGGTAGTGTTAAAGCTGGTGTTCAGTGCTGCTGCAGTTCACTGAATCAGTATGTGATTACTGTTCACCATGGATCTGAGTAATTAAAACTGCTGTCTGCCCTTGATTCTGCTCCTCCCGTTTCTCATGCCTGGAGTCTCTCGCATCCTGTTAGCAGGTGAAAGAATACCCTGCCCCGTCACAGCTGGGTTGAGTGCAAAATCCAAGATGTATGCAACTAAGCAGAAACAAGTCTCCAGAAAGATTTGCATTCATAAGTCAAAAGGAGTAGACTGTACTGTACTTTACTTAGAAACTGTAACCAAAGTGCAATGACAGCAGTGAATGTGTATATGCCATATTAATTATTACTGCAGCAGTTTGTATTGCCTTGGTCCCAATGTAATTTTAGCAAACTTCAAGAAAACTTCAATAATTTTACGTTCCAACTGCTTTGAGAGAAAATGTGAATTTTATGTGCTGAACCATGTATCGCTTTCTCTCCCTTTCTCTCTTTGTCTTCTTGTACTTGTTTGTGACAATAGAACTTCAGGAATGTGAAATGTTAAGGATGCTGGAGAAAGCTTTCTTCTAAAAGCAAGGGCTCTTTGAAGAAAGCTTTGAGAGTTTCTCCTCTGACGCTGCTTTAATACACAAGTGATTTATAGCACTGTCTGACCTTGGTGCAGAGCGGGCAAATTGTACTTTTTCAGTAGTTACTTTTCTTCTGCTGTAGCCTGGTTCTCCAATGATTTTTGATCCTCCTTGGCTACCCAGAGGCAGCAAGGGCTGCAATTTTTCTCAATACACGTGGCAATTATTGCTGTTTTCAGAGAGTAAAGTATGCTTGCATTAAGCTGTAAAATGGTGAACTGTTTGCGATGGCAGTTATGTTACCAATAAGCATTAACAATTTGTTTATCGTTTCCTTCGCAATTTGGAAGTGAGTAATAGAGAAAGTGAAGACCTCATTGGTTTTCTGCATTTTTAGTGGGTGGATGTGGCAACTAAAACTAGACCCTTAGTCACGAATGGTTTGCACTGTTTAACTCTGCTGATTTGCCAAAACGTAGATGTCTCTTCTTACAGGTGATATGACAGTGAATTGTTTTGTTTTATGGCAGATACCAGTAGCAACATGTGAAATATTTTTGAAGTGTAATACTTCTTATATTGGAAGAAGTTTTTTATGTCTCCTAAATCTGTGTCCCAGTTTCAACAGCTGTAACTGTTACTGCAGTCTGGGTACAAGTTAATATACCTTTCCTTTTTGCCTGCTGCCACACTGTAGACTGAGTCACTGAAAGTTCAGAAAATGAAGTCTGTACAGCAAAATGACAAACAAAAAGTTTCCAGTGAGATTTCAACATATTAACGTATGAACATGTTGATATTATTCAGAATAAAAACATCATGATCAAAGTCCTTTTTAAGGCAGCGATTAATATGGAATCTATGTGTAGGAACGTTTGGGTGTCCAGAAATTAATGTTTGAGTTACTCAATCTTTTCTCACATGCATCTGTAATTTATCTTTGCTCGCATATAGTAACCCCTTATATGTATAGAGGAGATGGAAAAAGGTGCAAAAAAGGGCAGCTGGAGACCTGTAATGAGGATTTATTGGTGCTAGAGCAGTGTATATAACTGATGCGTATGTAAGTTAGGAACCACTAAAATAACATCCTTTGTTGTTAGAAATGAACATCTATTACTTACTTTGCCTAGCTTCACCAGCTAAAATCAAAATCAGGTGACACGTTAATCATAGCATTCAGAATTAGATAACCATGGCAGTTTTTGGTGGGTGGTCTGCATTTATATATGGATTTCTTTATTTACAGTCTTCTTCCTCCCTCTCCCTCTTAGGCTTGTTTAAACAAGAAGTCCTTGCCATCTTTGGTAGCTTCCTAGCAAGTTAGAAAGCAATGAAATACTGCATTTACTTTTCACCGATGTTGCCTTTGTCTCATCTAGATAGTGAACTTTTTAACAGATGGGCTCAAAAGAAAGATTGCTCTTGACCTTGTTTTGCGCTTCATTCACTTTTCTTAAGACATTGCAAGAAAATTGTCAAAGTTTCCACAACTTTTGAGGCCCGGTATCTGTAAAGTAACCCAGCTGCTGAGGGAGAATAAATGGTTTCCTGCATCTGCAAGCCCGATGTTTAGTTACAAGCTCACGTTTTGCACGTCAATGCTTTCTTGTTTCTCAGCTTCTGTGCTGTTCTGCCAGCTGAAGCAGTTCATTGATAGCTCAGAGTTGTTCGCTTACTTTATGGAACTCGAACACTGCAGGTCTCATGCTGTCGTAGGACTTTGCTAGGGTTAGCTCTTGCCTAGTTTTAAAAAATGGAAATCAATCCTTTTGAAAGTGAGATTTTTAAAATAAATTCCATTATGCAGATAGGGACTGGTTTAGCTTTTTCACCATTTTAGGTTTTTTTTTTTATTTCTTGATCTTATTAGCCCCTTATTTAAGCAGTTTTAGGGCTTTGAGATGCTGAACATGTCCCAGATACTCATCACCTGTAAGAGTGCTCAGGACTTTCAAGGAGTAGGTCCTGCATTTTCAGATGTGTTTCATTTCTTAAAATTGTGGCGGAGAAGGAGATTATCAGAGAAATCAACTGAAAGTTTTTGAATTTTGCAGTAGGAATGTCTTAAACATAGCCCTTTGCTTTGAGTGTAAATGAAGGAAGCCAAGGCAGAGCACAACTACTGTTGTGCTGGATTCTTTCCTCAGACAGACTTTTCAGCCACTGTTACGTAATAAATTCTGCCCAAGAAAGAGGAGGTATAGCTTCACAAAAATTCATCTAACTTCTTTCTTATACCAGAAACTTCCTCCCCTAACAGCGGAGGAGTGGTGTGGGTTCACTGATGAGCAGGGGTGGAACTGTTCCTGACAGGTCTTAGCAGTAACTTTTTCCCTCAGCATATAAATGAGAAGTTTTTTTACTAAAAGTGCATTACCTGGTGGTGGTGGTGGTGGGTTTGTGGAGTGAAAGAACCTGAGTTTTTAAGCTCATTCAAGTACCTTACTCTGCTGAAGTGGTCTGCCCCCCTACTTTTACCCACATTATTTACCTTTTCCTGCTCCTGACATAAGAATTTAACAAGCAAAATTAAAGCCATGGGGAAAAGAGAGGGACTGGAGTGGTGCAAGTCTCTACACTGCCAGGAGGGAGCTGCAGATAGGCAGCGGTAGGGTGGAAGTTTCCCTGACGGAGCTCCTTGTCTGTCCATCACCTCTGGCTGTGCAGCACAACGGTTCTCCGTGGGTGGGCTGCCAGGAGTGGCCCATGGCAGCACGTCCCTCTGACGGGGCCCCAGCCTGCCAGGCAGGCTCGCGTCTCCCCTGCTGCCTCCCGCACAGACTGCCGTTCTTCCCTCTCGCTTAACAGTTGCAGCAGCAATAATATTTTTAGGTTGTGCATTATGAAAAGGTGCAAGAAGCAGAGCATGTTTCTCAGGAAGTGACAACATTTTTTCCTGATTAATGGAATTTTTTTTTACTACTCTCTGATCTTGTTTCCCTGAATGCCTTCATTTTACCCTCTTGAGTAGGCCCCATTGTATCCCTGCTAGGACTAATCTTTGTTGATTTCTCAAGGAAAAGATCTGAGGCCCTTTCTCCTCCCATTTGACCATTTGTCTCTGAAAGAGTGAGAGAAGATGCCCTTTCCCCAAAAATTCTAAGCATGCTCTCAGCTTGGGTGCTGCTGACAGATTGGCTGTACTCTGGGTGCTCTGGTACCACAGTTTTTTGTGCTTTTCCAGTCGATGTATTGTTACAGGTTGTGGGTATTGCCATGATCGTGTTTCTAATATGTTCCTGTTCCCATCCGCCAGTCGTCTAAATGGTGTTGGGAGCGGAGGCGGTGGCTGATGCATCAGGTCAGAGATCAGAGAGTCACCCATCAACAGTTTGTCCTTTCCACTCCTTAACAAGTCACAGGGTGTTTATACAACAAATTAAAATTGATACAGGAACAGTATTTTCTGACAACTGTTACATTCGTGAAATGCTGGGGAGGTGGGTGAAGGAGAAACTGGGCAACATACAGGTAGTGTGGTGTTAAGCTCTAGGAATCTACTAAAGTACAAATCAGAACAGAGAGGATTGTTTAAAAATGTTTTACGTGCAGGGTTGGTACACAACAACAGGATGGCTCAATGGAGAACCTAGTTGTTCTAAAAAGACATGCAATGTTAATAGGCAGATCTGCTATGTGTTTTTGGATTAGTTTTGGGTGCTTCTTAAAAAATCAAATGTGAATATAACTAACTCTACCATAAAATCAGGTATTAGTTTTCAGGTTTAGCGGCATTTGAGATGCAAGGATGTTGGGGTCTACAAAGGCAACGGGTAAGGCATGAAGTATTTGCAGTTTATGGAACAGGAACAGAGGACTTCTGTTAGTTTTTCAGCCATGTTGGAAGGAGTAAGAATTACTGATTCAGGCCTCAGCTGTTTTTTCCAGATCTCAATAAATCTTAGCTGATGCGTGATAGAAGATCTTGGATAGACACAACTAATTGCTCGTGTTATATGGGTGATTCAACCTTCTCTGGTTTAGCAGCAAAAAAGAAAGCAGTTGTATGAACTAGGTCCAACAAACACCTTGCTTGCAACAGCAGCCATTTGTATTTCTGACAGATTGAGTTAATTCTGAGAGGATCAAAAGGAAATCGCCGAATTTTAAAGACTTGGCTACGACCTTACATACATTTCTGTGTGGATATTTATAAATCATGAAAGAGTCATTGGATCTTTCTCTCAAAGATGGATAAATACTATTTTGGCTTTAAGTACTAGGTAAATTCTGGTTTAGTAGTTACGTCTACAGACAACCAGCAGGACCAAAATCTTCCTTCAGGCAGGCTGGAGACAACAAAAGGGAAACACCAATAAAAACCACTTTTGTATACAATATATTTATGGTTGAAATGACTGGAAAGTATTTACATAACTAGTTGATTCTGTCATTCTCAGAAAAGCAGAAACAATATATAGTCTTTTTATTGTACTTTGACAGCTTCAAAACCCTGAAAATCATTCAGTGTGTTAGGACTTCGTTTTTTCACAGATGAAGAGATACAAAAATAAAAATTGCGTTATTTCTACAATTTGTATTATTTCTCTGACATGTAAGTCAAGAATTTTTGCAGTATGGGTTTTGGATATCACATCTTTTTGAGCTGCCAGTTTTGAGGCCTGATCTTTCAACATCAAAAGCAGCCATTCATTTATTTTAGAAGAAGGAAGGCCTATTTATATCAGGTCAGTGACTTCATTTTTGTGGCCTGACTTTTTTTATTTTTTATGACTTTTTTAATCCAAGTAGTTTTTACTTCAGAAGTTACAGGTGGAGACACTTGATAGTTTATATAATTTCCTTAACTTGAAACTGGGCTACTGTTGAGATGGCTACTGCTTATATAATGGGTAAAATATAAGGATTTCAGTTTTTTTTTTTTACCTGTTTATGGCTCAACCATTTTTTTCCCAAGTGTCTGTCCTACTCTTACAGCTATCTTCCAGTCCCATCTGTGCCCAGTCTTTCCCTTTGTGATGACTGGTGCTTCTAGCAATTCTGCATTACAAATAAATGCTATTAATAATAATGATAGATGCTGCACCACATATGTTTATGGAGATTCTCTGGAAATTTCTGTGTGGGAAAGGGTTTGAAGTACGGTTTGAAAGGGGGTGGGCGGGGAGGTTGGTTTTTTTTTCATTACATAATGTTCACTTTACAAATTAAACCAAGTATTCTTGTTCCAATTTAAGATGTGTTCTTGTTCCAATTTAAGACTCATTTTGGTAGACTGGCTCATGAATCAAGTTCTGTTAAGCACATTGACCTATAGATTTACTGTGTAGTGTTGGATTAATTTTGATTCTCGTTTAAAAATAATCCCTGATAAGTGCATAATATTTTGCTAAATAGAATAATTTCAGTAAAATTTGCTTAAACCTTTATTTCTGATGTAATAATGTGCTTGGATGTTATTGTGATGCTTAAACTACTTCAGATCACTAAATGTGAGAACTTCAGTTCTAGTTCCAGGTTTCCTTTTGCTTCCATCTTTTTTTACTGTGAGACTTTAAAAGTGGCAGAGTCTCATGCAAAAGTATGATTTGTTGACACAGTTTTTCCACTTAAAATATCATCACCACATCTCTAGGCACAGAAATGTTAAAATAATACGAAGTTTATTTTTAATATAAATTAATTAACAAAAATAGGCCTACCATAGTGAAATGGGAATTTAAGCATGTATCTCCCAGTTTCCTCAGGGAAAGGTTTGAAAGCATGTGACAGGTTGACATGATGAATGGGTGAACGCTTGAGAACTGAAAGGAAGTTTTATGCTTTGCA